GAATCGAAGAAGATTGCCTCGGAAACAGCGTCAGCATGAATCTTCCAGTAAAGCCAATCGACAATTGGTCAAGAGAAATTCCGGTTGGAGCAGTGGAAATTCAGTTTATTTTAAGAAAGTGCTAGAATGGGATAAAAAACGTTTTCCTTTATCCGATATGAGGTTTCGGCGGCAGGGTTAACCGAAATAAAATTAGACTTTAGAGTAATGTGCTAGCACAAGAGTCTTATGCGAAAAAAAGTTTGGTTTTGAGGAATCTCTTGTTTCATAATTGTTAAGCTCACTTCCATTTCGAGTAAAAGTATTGGGTGAAGAGATTCCAAGGTCGGTTCCACCAAAAGACGACAGCGGATTTCTGTTGAGCAGCCGTCGATTTGCTTTTCTGAAGCATGCATATGTTGACGCTGTTTCCAAGGCAATCTCTTTAGAGTCCTATTAAAGCGTTTTAAGCTGTCATCTGTCGTATGACGGACATCATCAGAGCGAGGTAACATCGTCACAACAAAATTCAAGCTAGCAAGTCAAGATACAAACACACTCACATGCATCGAAGTTGACATATGACCGTAATTAACAAAATCACTTTTTACTTGATAAAAGAGGTCAGATGTAGAGTATATATACCACTTTTTAGGGGTTCGCCCGTGAGTTTTCTTGACTCGTTAGCTTCAATTTTATTGTGACGATGTCACCTCGCTCTGATAATGTCCGTCATATGACGCACAAAAGCTTAGCCCCTTTTCACCGGAATCGAAGGAGATTGCCTTGGAAACAGCGTCAGCATGAATCTTCCAGTAAAGCCAATCGACAGCCGTCGTCTTCTGGTGGAACCGACCTTGGAATCTCTTCACGCAACACTTTCACTCGAAATGGAAATAAGCTCAAAGCCTTACTTCCCAAAAGGTTTTCTCATGTAATTGCCACGTGGATACAATTATTGCTGAAGATCTACTCTCAATATCGAAATCATTTTAATCTGCATCTCTTGTCAACTCGTCGAGTCGCATTTTTTCGGCATTCCTCGATTCTCCGGCCCGAGTTGCAGACTAGCATTATTTTATTTTTCACATCAACCATCGTTTCGAGACTACCAGTCGATCAGTAATATGAGATGTACTCACCCAATTTCGTTTAAGCTGATTAAGGACTCGTAGTCCAATTTTCCCACAACGATATTATTTTGTAAGTGGCTAGCCAGTCAGCCCTATCGCCATTTACAACAGACTCCATCCACCATTCACACCGAACCGGATGTCACCAGCTATGGAAGGACAATGTACCAAAGGGAAGTTTGGGTTTCAACGCGATTTTGGCCAAACCTTAGAGTGCAACCCAAAAAAGCCAGGCGCCTGACCACACCTGGGGTATTCCGGCACTTTGTCGGTCATTTGAGGCAGACAGCCAATGTAGGTGTTGTAGAACCACTTGACACGGAAACAGAGATTCATGTAGTCCGAGGACTTGACCTTCGCGGCGGCTGATGTCTGTCCCCTACCGCTGTTGCCATTGCCTCCGTCACTGGGAGCCCCTTTGATGGCTGCCTTCGCAGAGGCACCGGTGCCCTGTTTCGAAGCTGCAAATGCTGTTCCTGCGCCAGTTGACTCGGCCTGCCCGTCCGGGGGCTGTCGCTTCCCGGCCGCCGAGACGACTGAACTGCTGGCGACGCCCCCCTTCGCGGGGGTGGACGGAGAATGCGAGGTCGTGTGCTCGGTCCCGGCAACCATCAATTCGTAGTGCTGCGTAAGTCCGAGTGAAAGGTCCTCTGCCAAATAGGTCCACATTGTCTCGGCCGACATATTGCCAAGGTTCAGCTCCTGTGGAAATCTGAAAAAAATGTACCGAGTATAATTGGCCGGTTTTGAGGAAGCGGAGGGAAGAGAGCCAGCAGAGGACCTATAAGCAATTGGTTCCAGGATGGCTGAAGAAATAGGATTATTTATGTTTATTAATAACAACAACAACAACAACAACAATAATAATAATAATATGATAATGATGACGATTATGATGCCAATAAAATTATATATATCTCTCTCTCACGTACACACACACACACACGCACACATATATATATATATATATACATAATCTCAAATCACTTTATTAATACTATCATAATTAAATAATCATAATCTTTATCGTAATGATAATAATCATTGTTATTATAATTATTATACTGGGTATTATTATCGTAATATATAGATTTAATGGTCTATTTTTGTTATCCTCTATGTTTATTGACTGACTAGATGAGTGCAAAATTGGAGTACGCCAAAAAATGTCTGCTAAATACTGATTATGCATCAAAAGTCATGGAGAAGATGTCCTAGGCTATTATAGTTTCAAATGTCAAAGTTCAGAAGAGCAAATCCCACACAAAATAAATTACTTGATAACTAGCCTTATTACAGTATTGGTGAATGAAATGCAGGCTTAGAAGATTTTGGTATCAAGCCTCGGGATTTGGTCACTGGAATGCTTAATGAAATTTCGCTTTTCACAACTAAATATTTCGATAAATTAGTTGTGTTAACCGGATTTCGTTTAAGATGGGACGCATTGCCACGAGTGCAATTGGGTCACAGGGCAGATGTGAATTTCAAGGAGTGTCAGGCATTTTCCACATCGCATTCTGTGTTGGGATTGGCGATGTAGCAAACTTAGTTGTACTATAGTAATCGAGGACTACTTTTTTCGTAAGTAAGTAGTTTTCGAGTGCTTAACGTGTCGAGCTTATCTGATGCACTGGCATGGTTCCGCTCCCGGTTGGGGCATTGATAAGGCCTAGGCGAGGTCGAAACTGCAGTCCACTCCAGCCGGAATGAGAACAGCTTTTGGGGAGGCAAGGCTATACGAAATTTAATGGAAATTTAATGTGGGGAAAATCAACCACCAGTCATTCATCACCTTAAACGAAATAGGTTGAGTACATGTCATATAAATGATTTTATGGTAGTCTCGAAAACTTACTCTCTTACAAAAATTAATATTTCGAGACTACCAGCTGATCTGGCACAAGGTGATAGAGGACTGGTAGTTGAAATTTCCCACAAGCTGATGAGTAGACTTTATGCTTCAATTCAATTTCACATACATGCGAAGAAAAGTTGTGTTTCGAGGATTCTCTTGTTTCATAATTGTTGAGTTTATTTCCATTTCGAGTAAAAGTGTTGGGTGAAGAGATTCGAAGGTCGGTTCCACCAGGAGACGACGGCTGTCGATTGGCTTTACTGGAACATTCATGCTGATGCTGTTTCCGAGGTAATCTCCTTCGATTCCGGTGAAAAGACTATAAGCTTTCATCCATTAAGTGACGAACATTATCAGAGCGAGGTATCATCTTCACAACCAAATTAAAGCTAACGAGTTAAGAAAACTCACCGGCAAATCCCTAAAAAGTGGTATATACACTCTACATCTGGCCTCTTTGATCAAGTATAAAGTGATTCGGTTAGTTACGGTCATATGTCAACTTCGAAGCATGTGAGCGCGTCTGTCGCTGTATGTGTATGTGCCTGTTTGTATTCGCTTATGCACATGTATTTAGAAAGGGGGAGATGGGGGTCATCAAACCTTGATGGCCAAAAACAGACGTTCCTTTTTGCTGTCCTAATTCATTTGAGCCGTCACTGCGGGTTTCGTGCATAAGCGAACACAAACAGGCACATATACATACAGAGACAGACACACTCACATGCATTGAAGTTGACATATGACCGTAACTAACCAAATCACTTTATACTTGATCAAGATGTAGAGTATATATACCACTTTTTAAGAATTTGCTGGTGAGTTTTCTTGACTCGTTAGCTTGATTTTTTGTTGTGAAGATGATACCTTGTTCTGATGATGTTCGTCATATGATGGACATAAGCTTAGCACCTTTCCACCTGAATCGAAGGAGATCACCTCGGAACCAGCGTCCGCATGAATCTTCCAGTAAAGCCAATCGACAGCTGGTCAATAGGAATCCGCCGTCGTCTTCTGGTGAT